CCGTGGTATCAGCCTTCTTAGCATTGTGGGAAAACTGTATGCTAAGGTACTAATTGAAAGAGTTATGAAAGAAACTGATGAAAAAATTTGGGATGTGCAAGCGGGATTTAGAAAGGGAATGGGGTGTACAGATCAAGTCTTTTCCATGCGCATGATCGCGGAGAAGTTTTTGGCGAAAAACCAAAAAGTTTTTTGTGCGTTCATGGACTTGGAAAAAGCTTATGACAGAGTGGACAGGGATGTGTTATGGCAAACGCTGAACGCATTTAGGTTGAGCGCTGGTTTGATACAGGCATTAAAGTCTCTGTATAGGGACTCGAGTGCTTGTGTTAGAATCAACGGGGTCTACTCGGACTGGTTTGGCATCCATAAAGGTGTCAGACAGGGCTGTGTAGCTTCCCCGTGGCTGTTCAACCTATTTATGGACAGCTGTTTGGAAAATTTGAAAGTTGAAGAATGCGGGTTAAGAAGAGTTAACCATCAAATGCCTTTTGTACGCCGATGATCAAGTCATACTTGCGTCGTCGGCGGCCGAGTTGCAAATGATGGTTACATTAATGAACAGGTCATTAAAAGAAAGGGGAATGAAAGTGAACGCAAGTAAGACGAAAGTGATGGTTTTTGAAAGAGATGAAAGCAAGACGGTATGTGAAATAAGAATAGAAGGATAGTTAATTGAGCAAGTGGATGAGTTCGTATATTTGGGATGTGTATTCAGCAGGGATGGGAGATATGATAAGGATATTGAACGACGAGTGAATGCAGGAAATAAAGTAAATGGGGCTCTACACTCTATTGTGAAAAGTCAGAATGTGTCAAAAAAGGCACGTATGGCAATTCACAGTGCTGTATTAGTCCCTACTTTAACGTATGGTAGTGAAAGTTGGGTGTGGCAGAAGAAGCACGAGAGTAGAATAAATACAGTAGAAATGCGGTCGCTAAGGAGTATGTTAGGGCTGAATCTGAGTGACAGGGTGAGAAACTGTGTGATAAAAGAAGAGTGTGGTTTGCAAGATGATGCGGTGACCAGGATTAAGAAAGGAATGCTTCGGTGGTTTGGTCATGTAGAAAGAATGAATGCGGAAAGACTGACAAAGCAAATATATGTTGCAGAAGTGAATGGAAGAGTCGGAAAGGGACGTCCTAGGCGGAAGTTTGTCGACCAAATTGACGATATACTAAAAATGGGCCAAATTAAGAGTACCCTTAACCGACGAGCATGTATGCGTAGGTATATGGGGATGTGGAAGAGGCGAGAAAGGTATGTCAGGATCGTGCTAAATGGAAGTCTGTAGTCTCTGCCTACCCCTCTGGGTGACAGGCGTGAGTGAGAGTGTTTACGCGCGCTCTATAGCTTGCTTATGTATACTCTAAGGATGATGATGATGATGATGAATGTGTAACTGGCAAGATTTTATGAAGAAATTTCACTGTAAATTATCTGTACTGCCTTTTTGGCATTGATCGCGCCAATGCCATTTATAGTCAAGGGTCGAGTCGATGTTAGTATCTTATACAAAATAGAAAAGTGATATCATAGACAACAGAAAAAACAGCCCATCATGCGTTGTTTTATTTATTTTGTGTATTTCACTATTGTAGGAATGGTAAGAATTATATATTTTAATCGTCGATAACTATTATATTATATAATAGTCGAATACTGAATTGATCCTAATCGTAATCGTAGCATCACAAGGAAGGTTCGACCGAGACTAGTTTAATTGGTGTTTGGCGAAACCAAGACTAAGAACTAGAATAAAAAGAAATCTCGACCGAGATCAAGAATTTCAGAAGTACTTACTTAAAAATACAGAAAAAAAAAACAAAATGCATAGAAAACCTGTTACCAATTTTTAGGTACTTAACATTAGTAATCAGAGTATTAAAATTTGCTTATGCTAGGCGATTTCTTGGCGTTTCGACCTTCTTTTAGCTTCACTAAATAGTTGCTCATATAACGTTATCGGCCATCACCGAAACTTTCCGAAAATTAAGCCCACACCGAGGCTGAGTACCAAACTTACTCTTAAACCCTAATTTGTTATCAGAAAGATGCTGCTGTTAATTTTCTGTTACAGTTATCCTCTGCCAATTCTTACGATAGCCACGGGTCGATATGGGATAGTGGATATTCTAATACCGTCACTATACGGCAACAAAAAATAATTTAAAGTTGGTTAAAAATCTAGTGGTTTGTACCATAGAGCAACACACACCGAAGGTGAGTAGCCATAGCGTTTTTTCACAATACAGAATTGTCTGTCATTTTTGCGGGGGAAATTCTACGCACACAAAAACAATCGCCTGTCATCCCGAAACTCACACAATAATTATAACAGTATCGCTCGGTGACATCGACAACTCGGGTTTACTCAGTCATACATAAGCCGATTATGTACCGATCTGCATATTGTGAGAGCATGCGGCCTGGTTTGGTAAACAAATCCCAATCAAAACGACTGTTATTATTGTAATTTTTAAATTTAAAAAGAAGTAAGTAGCAATAATGTGATTAAAAATTACTTATATATGAAAAAAGTAACGCCATCTTTTTGTAAATTTGAAATGGCAGATTTCTTTTTGCAGCAAAAAACTGAACAAATCGGCATTTTTACAGCCGCGCAACAAGACTTAGTCTAGTGAGCAGTGCGGCTACAACTAGTTTCATTATACGCAGAGTTATACATACGCCCTATATATTTTATGAAACGCCAGCGTATGGCTACTCCCCTCCGAACGGCTGGTAGCCCGTGTTACTCTATGGATTTGTACATATCGATAAATGTTAAATATTTAGAAGTTTTTTGCTAACCCTATTTCGGTCAAGAACTAGTACTTTCAATCAACCTCGACAAGGTTCCATCGCATTATAAGAGCGCGCAAGTAATACGTGGCTAGCACATGAAAACCTCCCAAATAACTTATCAACCAACTCAACTTCAAAAAAATTAATAATACTAAATGCTTCATCATAATTATTATTACTGCCCATCATAAGTCCACTGCTGATCATAAGAAAGGAATACCACAAAGAACGGGCCTGAGTCACCTGCATCCATCGAATTCCTTCATCTCTTACAAAAACGTCACTTCATATAGTAAGGGGCCGCCCTATACTTCGCTTACTCGTACGAAGCTGCTACTATAACACCGGTTTTCCCATCGGTTGTTTGTATCTCTACAAAAAGAAGCACAACAGCGGGTGCAAATACAGAACTACTTGGAAAAACAATATAGGCACTAGCAAACTTCAACTTTGTTACTTTATGTTATTGTTCATCATTTTTGTAAACTTTTAGTCTTTCGTGTATAATGTTATACCTATAACGTTATATAACAGGTAATATTTGTTCGCATTTATTTCAAGCCAACTCACATACACTTATTTTTTTCTAGCACATTCTTTTTTTTCTATGGTTTCAAATTTGAACAACTAATCATTACAATGAAGCTTGATTTTGATTTATTTTTTTGATTTAATCACTTGATTTAAATGAAAAATAACTTGATTTTAATCACTGATTATAAAGTAATTTATCAAATAATATGATTTTGAACATATAAACCTTAACAACTCATAAAAACCTCATTTAAAACTGATAAGGTCAATTTCAGCAGTTGTACAGTTAATCCTTTAATGCAATAAAGAAAAGAAAGATTAGTGTTTTTGATAATGCATCAACATTATGCAAAAGGGTACGGTGAATATAATCTTGCAAAAAAATAACACTCGATAAAATATAATTACATTTAATAGGCACTAAAAAGAAAGAAAAACAATAACATAAACAAAATGGTAACATATTTAGATATCTATTATTTAAAAGGTTGAAATCTGAAAACTTTATATTAAAAAAAGGTTTCGTTAAAAAACAAAATTCATTTAAATAAATCCAAGAGGTCAAGATATTTAAGGGATGAATTTAAGACTTACAAGTCCCAAGAGTTGAATATAATCTGAAAGTTGGAATTAGAAGTTACAGAACAGTTACAAAATAAGAAAGAGATATTAATGATGAATATTAGAATAAAGAAAATGATACGTACAAAACAATAATGTTACCATCCACAAATAAATACACGTTAATTCAGTTAAAATCAACATATATAAATAAACTATTTTACGAAAAGGTAGGCCAGGGAATGAACATACATAATATATAATGGGGTAAAGGGATGAATATAAGCAAACGTTGCCAGCATTATTAAAATATAAATTTTATGACATCTAAGGATGTATTCATAATATACGAATTAACGAAGTTAGGAATTTTTAACATACCTTGTTCTAAAGTGGTAACTAATAAACAACATAATCCTAACAAAAACAAAAGCAAATACTTCATAAAAAATTACATAGTGATAATTAACAACATTTCATTTTATCCATTACAATAGACATTAAATATCTATAAAGGTTGGGTGAAGTGGAAGAGCCTTAAAGAAATGAGGATTTCCGATTTTTATTCATAATAAGCTAATCAAACTAGAGTTTTGTTGTTTTTTACTGTGCATTCGAAATTTGTTGTCCAGAAAAAACACTAGACACTAGTACTAACTACTAAACACTAGACTTTTATCATATTGTCTGCCATGAATGTCCTGCATGTCGCACGGAATTTATCAGGAATAGAAATACATTTTAATGGCACTTATTTTTAATTTCTGAGGTCAATTGTTTCAAAAATACTAAGCTTTGGAACTAAATTCGATAAAACATAGTCCAAAAGAGATAAAGTTAGATAAACTTTCTATTAAACATGCAAAATATACTATTACAAACGTCTCAATGACAAACAGTTTAAATTGCAAACAAATTATTTTATTACAAATATATACGTATAATATTCGTTGAAAATTTATTTTGATCAGCTTTCATAAACATAATAAGAATAAATTTTCGCAAAATTTACTAGTGTTTTTTATAATGTTTTATGCAGTAATTAGCCACTAACAGACGTTAGTTACCAAAAATATTTATTCAATTGGTCCATTACCTGTGCTACAGTCTGTTCTCCAAGTGGTACATCTTCAGTGCGGAGAGCGGTACGCCCGACTATCGAGGTTGGGTCAGAGTCGAGTATAACTCTAGAATAAAAAGCAAAATACCTTAAGAAAGATTTCTATGACATGCTATCATTATAAGTTTAATATTTTTAGGGAAAATACAACAAAATCCTTTGTAATACAAAATTTTAATATAAATAAATGTGTAGTAACGGTTTAAGAGAATCCACTACAACATAATCCCTTGGGTGTCGTAAGAAACTACAGAGGGATATTATAACAGGAGATGGCAGCAGCATCTTCCCGATAAATACTCAATAATAATAAAAAACTGCAGTTGTCAACCAAGCATGGCAACTATGGCCATAATATATCCTCTATGATGTTATAACAGGGCAATGCAATATATATGGGAGGTCTATGAACAACAGTGCACTTTTGAGGCTGAAATGAATGAATGAAATAAAGAGATATTTTTTTAATAGTTGAATATATATCTCAACCATCAGAACGCAACAACAATTTTTGAACAATTAAACAAAAGGTTGGGTGCAACTCTCAACCTTTCAAGTGCCTTAAGATACAAGTGTTATATTTGATATACAAATTTAGCGTGCGCGCGTGCGTATTGTACGTGCGCGTGTGTGTATGTATTTGGGTATCAAACACATACACACGTTTTACGGGCAATCGGTATAAGAGAACTAGTTTCGAGCCAGTTAGCGTTTTTAGCAAATCCAGATTGTATCTTTACAAACGGTATCCCATGTCATTCCAGTGAAAGATACAGCAGTATCATTGGCATACGGGAACACTCGGACGCCTATAATATATAAGTTGCAATGACCAATGTCGTAGATTGAAAACAACGTGAGCAGAGAATACTGCCTGTGCAACAACAATCGAACTGCAAATACAATACGGATTTATTTGATATCTGACAGAATGCCAAAAATAAGCAAATTAATGACACACCCGTCTACTCATAAAACAGTTACTGGATGGAACCGTTTTATGAAATAAGATTGATAAGATAATTATAAAATTGCTTGTTTTTCCAATTTCAAGTGCTTTTATCAAAAATCGGGGGTTTTCGAATTACATCACAAATTCGTGAACTTGCATCAGTGAGGCAAACCTAAAAAATATCTATAGCTATAAATAGTGAGGTGATTTTGTGTATTATTTAAATAACTGGCTGCTATTAAGCTCGAGGAGGCTATTAAGATATTTAAAGAAAAACTTTTTTTTTAATTTTTTGTCTATCTTTCCGGACAAATCTTTAGAATGGCTGAACTGATGAAAATAAATATGGTTGACTTTACAAGCCATCCCTGCAACTTCCCGCTAATTTCAAATGCAAAGCGCTCCATAGTGCACCTATTGTATACACGGTTTTGAGCTCTAAGAGCTCAACAACATACACGCACAAAGGTAGGAATATTCAGAATAGCTTCCTAGGACCTCAAAACGTGAAGATCTGATAAGAACTCGATTATCGACAATCGGAATGAAACCAATGACATACCGATTTTTCGAAAATCATTGTATTTCATAGCGGGAAGTAAAAAAAACTTCATCATCATCATTACAGCACATTGCAAGTCCACAGCTGAACATAGGCCTCCCCCTAGTAATGCCACAAAGCACGGTCCTGAGCCACCTGCATCCATCGACTTCCTACATGTCTTACGAGGTCGTCACTCCATGTAATGGGGGGTCGCCCTACACTACGCCTACCGGTACGAGGCTGCCACTCGAGAACCTTTCTTCCCCATTGGTTATCGGTTCTTCGAGCTATATGGCCGGCCCATTGCCACTTCACCTTACTAATCCGTTGGGCTATGTCGGTCACTCTGGTTCTACTGCGGATATGCTCATTTCTGAGTATATCACGCAGAGAAACTCCGAACATAGCCCTCTCCATAGCTCGCTGAGCGACCTTGAGCGTCCTCATATGGCCAGCAGTGAAGGTTCACGTCTCAGAGTCATCACTGGCAACACGCACTGGTTGTACAATCTAGTTTTCAGAGTTTGAGGTATACCTGACGAGAAGATGTGTCGTAATTTCCCAAACGCTGCCCAGCCGAGTTGAATCCGTCGATTGACCTCTCGGTCGAAGTTGAACTTACCTAGTAGGACTATTTGTCCCAGATAAACGTAGTCGTCAACAACTTCGAGCATAGTGCTCCCAACAACTACCGGCATAGGTGTGACAGGGACATTAAACATGATTTTTGTTTTGTCCATGTTCATCTTAAGACCTATCCGTTGGGAAACACCATTAAGGTCATTGAGCATTGTGCTTAGGTCCTCCAGCGATTCTGCCATAAGGACTGTATCGTCGGCAAATCGAAGGTGAGTGATGTACTCGCCATTGATGTTAATACCGTATCCTTTCCAGTCCAGTAGCTTGTAAACGTCTTCCAATGCAGCGGTGAAGAGTTTCGGGGATATAATATCACCCTGTCTTTCACCGCTCTGCAGTTGGATAGGTTTCGAATTCTGGTTCTGTACTCGGATAGCCATCGTAACCCAACTGTACAAACACTTCAGCACTTCGATATACCGACAGTCAACTTGGCACCACTGAAGGGACTGTAGCACCGCCGAAATTTCGACGGAATCAAAGGCTTTCTCATAGTCCACATACGCCAGGCAAAAAGGCAGATTGTACTCTTCGGTCTTCTGTACAATCTGCCGCAGCCGCAGGATATGTATGTGGTCTATGATACTGAAGCCTTTTCAGAAACCGGCTTGTTCGGGAGGCTGGAAGTCGTCGAGTCTGCGTGCGAGACGATTCGTAATGACTCTCGAAAACAGCACGTAGACGCGGCTCACAAGGGAAATCGGTATGTAGTTCTTCAAGAGAGCGTTGTCGCCTTTCTTGAAGAACAAGACCACCGCACTTCTGCTTCACGCCTCCGGAGTAGTGCCACCATGGAGGACGGAATTGAAGAACTTCTGAAGGACTTTAAGTACCGATGTTCCACCCGCTTTCAGAAGCTCCGCTATAATTCCATCCTCGCCTGGGGCCCTACCGTTTTTAAGGTGCTGGAGAGCCATTCTAATTTCACTCAGACTGACGTCCGGGATATCATCGGAATAGTGTCGGATAAGACTTGCTCTTGGATCGTTACTCACACTTGCGTGTGGCTCCAACGATGATGTGTACAGCTGCCCATAGAACTTCTCAATCTCACTCAAAATCTCAGGTGTCCCGGAAACGATGCTGCCACACTCAGTTTTCAGCTTTGACAGTTGGCTCTTTCTGGCAGACAGATCTCTGGCAAAGACTTTGGAGCCCTGGTTCCGCTCGATCGCTTCTTCAATACAAGCAGTATTAAAGTTGCGTAAGTCTCGCCACATGCATTTGGAGATCTGTCTGTTCAGTTGCCTGTACACTGTCAAATCTGTTGAGGATTGCAGCCTCATCTCCCGTCGAACAGCCATGAGATTAAGAGTGTGATCGGAGAGTTTTTGTGTTCTTCTGCGACGGGTCTTGCAAAACTTAGCTCCGACCGCATGGACAGTTTCCGGTTCCGTAACTCGGCTGAAAGGTTTCGGGATTGTGGATTAGAGCATGACGGGGACGGAGTGTTGACTTCATTAGACGAGACCGCTCCAACTTAACGTTTAGGTTCAGCGTACCTCTAACCATTCGGTGATCGCTGCGAGGTTTCACCCTTGCAATCACGGAGACATCACTGAACAGTTGGCGTCTGGTCGTCATAATGAAGTCAATCTCATTTTTTGTCGAACCGTCGGGGCTCGACCAGGTCCACTTTCTGTGGGGCCGCTTCTGGAAGAAAGAGTTCATCATAAAAATTCCCTCTTTCTCCATGAAGTCGGCCAGCTGCTGGCCCATTGGGTTCCGTTGCCCTATCTCAAATTTCCCTACCTTCAGCTCACCATTCTTTCTTGTGCCCAGTTTTGCGTTGAAGTCTCCCATTAACACTGTATAGTAAGTTTTGGAAGAATGCATGGCTCTAGAAATATCCTCATACATTTCCCCCACCTCCTCATCGGGATGTTCCGACGTTGGCGCGTGAATCTGTATGACCTTCAGCGAATACCGTTTGGTAATTCTGAGTATAAGGTACGCAACCCTCGTCGATACACTCCCAATCTTTATAATGTTGTTAATGATTATGACTTGGTGGACGATAAATCCAGCACCTCCTTGGGACAGATGGTCGCCCTCACGCTGATAGAACAAGTTGCCGGATTCTAGAATCACCGTGTCCTATCCCTCGGATAATCTTATAATAATCCACCGCAACTTGTCTATCCCTTCTTTCAGCTCCATGATTTTCTTGTCTGTCCTCAGGGTGCGTGTGTCTGTCGTATGTTGCCAGGTTGAGTCGTCTGAGGTGGCAACCGAACCTCCACCGGAGATTCTTAGCACCCCCTGCCCCGTCATTACCATGTTCGCCACCGTAGCCAGGAATAGCGAGGCCGCCGGGGACTGGGGGCCGTCTATTCGCGTCGTTTCTCATGAGGGGTATATTGCCATAGTTGTCACGCTTGGCGAGCGGGTTGGCAACCACAGTTTTTTTTGTACAGTTGCTGCTACCAGGAAGATGCTGCTGCCCATCTCCTGCCTGTCTCCCTCTGTCGCCTTTTACGACACCCACGGGAAGATATGGGGTAGTGGATATTCTTAACCGCCACTACACGGCAAAAAAACTTGACGAACGACAAATCTAAATAACACCACATTAATAGATCCAGGCGAAGCCAGGACGGGTCACTATTATAAGTATATTAAAGACAAATTTTAATTTTGTTAGGCTCTCCAGAACACATGGTTAAGGATAGTTAAAGTTATAAATAAATAAGTACAGCTATTTCATTGTTAAAAATGTGAAAACATACCCTCCATCACAAATCTCATCAAAGGCCAGCATCACCGCATCTAGGTTTTCCATTAGAACACGTTTTTCAACATTTCTGCGCAGTAGTATACTGACAGACTCGTACAACGCATTTAGGACAGACTGCAGTATCAACTGGAAATAAAAAACAACATTCTTGATAAACATAGTAATCAAGTTTAAATTGTTAATGGAATTTTAAAAAAATTGGTGGCAGTTTCCGATGAGCCGATTTGTCTAGAAAGCTAAATTCTTCTATTCGATACTAGATAGTGCTGTTGAGAGTTCTAGAAAGATCTTGACACTCCTATTTCTGATACTTGATACCAGATGGCGCTAGTGCCATCAACTAGGGCGCGCAACAATATTACAGGAGTTAAGCATAAATAAAACAAAATTGCTGTATATTTCATAGTAGGAAAGAAACCTGGGTTTGATACCAGCACCAATGGAATTGGTAAGTGCCGATTTTCCACGTGCTTGGCGATGAAGGAAAACGTCATAAAAGCATGTCTGACGAATAAAAGTATATCGAACACATGTGAATATCGCCAACACGCACTGGGGCAGTGCGGCGTACTAGTTACTAGTACGAGAGGAGGCTTGTACCCGGCAACGAAATGTAAAATAGACTATAACTTTAACTAACTTATCCTCTAAGCTCAGTGCCATAATGTTTGAATCAACAATTTAAAAACAAATGAAACATGGTCAACTGGTGCTGCAATCAACTTTGCGTTTTGTTTGCTGTCATGGATAATAAAGGCTTTCTCAATAGGGATGCTTGAACATTGACAGCGTATAGCCCTCAAATTGGTAAAGCGATAGCTGTCAAATTTGACAAGAATACGTATTTAGTTTTGACCTATCGCCATGGAACGTTACACGCTTAAACAACGCGTTGAAATTGTTAAAATTTATAATCAAAATCAGTGCTCTGTTTGCCTAACGTCCCGTACATTGTATCCAATTTATGGCATTCATGGCCATTCTGAAGAGTCCACCATCCGTCGTTTCATGAATAAATTTGAGAGAACCGAGTCGGAGATCGATGAAGCAGTGCCTGTACGTCAAAAAAATAAAAAATTGTTGGAAAATATTGTTGCCGTTCGGGACAGTGTGCTTCCCATCTCTGGGCTGGGGCTCCCCAGTACCAGCTTCTTCCACTTGACCGCATCCAGCGCAGAGCGGCTCGAATCGTCGACGACCGAGTGCTTTCCGATCGGCTCGATTCACTGGCGCTGCGAAGAGATGTTGCATCTCTTTGCGTATTTTATCGCATCTATCACGGGGAGTGCTCTGAGGAATTGTACGGATTAATCCCAGCCGCCAAATTTCGTGAACGCACTACACGTCAAACGTCCCGATACCATCCACACCATCTGGATGCTTGGCGGTCCACCACTGTACGTTTCACAAGGAGTTTTCTTCCACGTACAACCTCTCTGTGGAATAGTTTACCACCGGCGATTTTTCCGGACCGATACGATCTGGGGACCTTCAAGAAAAGAGCTTACTCCTTTCTAAAGGGCCGGCAACGCACCCGCAATTCTCCTGGTGTTGCGGTTGATCATGGGCGGCGGTAGTCACTTAACATCAGGTGAGCCACATGCTCGTTTGCCCCTTAACTATAAAAAAAAAGAAAACCCCAGACAGTCCATTCCACGTCGCGCGCAAAAGCAGGGTCTTTCTGCGACATCAACTTGGCGGATTTTACATTGAGACTTGGGTTTTCATCCATACAAAGTTCAATTAACTACAGAGCTAAAACTGTATTCTGTTTTCGCTTTAGAGCATTTTGGCGACTGACGATGCTTTCGGTAAAAAAATCACCTTCAGTGATGAGGCTATTTCTGGTCAAGTGGTTTTGTTAACAAACAAAATTGCCGGATTTGGAGCAACGGAAATCCACGGGAAATTCATCAGGTGCCTCTACACCACTGTTTGGTGGTGAATTTTGGTCCAGCGGTATCATGAGCCCTTAATTCTTCGAAGATGCGCAAGGAACCGCGCTCACTGTCATTGGCGACCGATATTAGACGATGATAACAAATTTTTTGATGCCTAGGATAGATGATATGGACCTCACAAACATGTGGTTCCTTCAATAAAAGAGCTAATTCCTTTTTAAAAGGCCGGCAACGCACCTGCAATTCCCCTGGTGTTGTGGTTGTTCATGGGCGTCACTTACCGTCAGGTGAGCCGCATGCTTGTTTGCCCCCTCTTCTATAAAAAACAAAACAAGACAGCGCCACTTGCCACACTGCAAGAAAAAAATTGAATTTCTTGGACCATAAGTTCGAGAGCTTCGTCATCTCGCCTAGTGGCTGATCGTGGAATACCACCGCTCGACTACTTTCTATAGGGCTACATGAAATCTTTAGTCTATAGAAACAAACCACCGACAATTGCCGCCCTGAAGGCCAACATAACTAATGTTTTTTATGAAACTGAGCCCCATTTATGTGAAGATGTCGTCCAACCTGTCAGTCTACCAGGATACATCACCTATACCGGAGTCGCGGCGGCCATTTGGTTGAAATTATATTCCCTACATAATGTGATCGAATGTCGTTTAAAATAAAATAAAAATTGTGGCAATATCACATACACAGGTTGTTTTATTTCATTTCAAAGTTCGCGCACTCTTAATGAAAATCTTTTTATTAACATGAAGCTGGATAAAAAAAGTCACTATATTATATATTGCATATTAAAGATCATCAACAGAATAAATACACTAATTTAATATAAACATTTTAAGTAAATATGTTTACAATAATATACTATATAGGTCTTGTAAGCAGCAATTACAGGAAATGTAAGAAAATTCTTATGGTTTCCAACAAATGGCAGCATAAATTTTATGTTATATTTAATATAATGTGTTGCAGATCGAATTTCGATGACGGTAGCTAGACTCAATGAAGAATTGCCATTTGTGCAAGACAGAATTATAGTACATGAGTGTGCACTCACACCGGCGCGCTCTCTATTCCATCACTTTTATAATCCGATGGAATGGCAATATCACACAAAACGAGAGATATCAGGCACAGGTTCTTTCCGAAGTTCTGCCAACATTCTGATTCTGGTCTGCTAATGAGAATTTCTTGCCAGAAAAACCCAATAACTGATTTTGCTAGTGCTGGGCTTCTAGCCCAGGACCATAGATCAGCACTAGCACTTACAATCGTTCCTTACATTGCTATACATATATATATTGCTTACGTCAGACATATAATAGAACAACCAGACTGGCAACAGATAGCAGCATAAAAGGTACTAAATACAATAGTAAACTTTTACAGGTTGTTAAAGATTTTTTTATAGAATAAGGGTGACAAACAAGCACACAGTCCACCTGATGGTTTGCGGATGCTGTAGCCCAATATCAGAAATATATTGCATATTTGGTTATACCTCATTTTCATGTGAGCTGCCCATTACATAGAAGAATAAATCGACATTGCTTTTGTATACACAAGTAAGTCCCTCGAGCATTATGATCTCTGCATTCGCTCTGGAATCATTTAAAAAATACATTATATCATAGACAAAAAATAAATGACATACATACATAAATATACATAAACACTCACGCCTGTCACCCAGAGGGGTAGGCAGAGACTACGGACTTCCATTTGGCACGATCCTGATATACCTCTTTCGCCTCCTTTACATCCATATATCTACGCATACATTCTCGTCGGTTAAGGGTACTTCTAACGTGGCCCCTTTTCAAAATATCGCCAATTTGGTCGATAAACTTTTTTCTAGGGCGTCCCTTCCCGACTCGGCCGTTCACATCTGCCATATAAATTTGCTTTGTCACTCTTTCCTCATTCATTCTTTCTACATGACCAAACCACCGAAGCATTCCTTTCTTAATCCTGGTCACAACATCATCTTGCATACCACATTTATCTCTTATCACGCAATTTCTCACCCTGTCATTCAGATTCAACCCTAGCATACTCCTTAAAGACCGCATTTCTACAGCATTTATTCTACTTTCGTGCTTCTTCTGCCACACCCAGCTTTCACTACCATACATTAAAGTAGGGACTAACACAGCATTATGAATTACCATACGTGCCTTTTTTGACACATTCTGGTTCTTCATAATAGTGTAGTGCCCCATTCACTCTATTCCCTGCATTTACTCGTCGTTCTATATCCCTATCATATCTACCATCCCTGCTAAATACATATCCCAAATACACAAACTCATCCACTTGCTCAATTAACTCTCCTTCTATTCTTATTTCACATACCGTTTTGCTTTCTTCTCTTTCAAAAACCATCACTTTCGTCTTACTTGCGTTCACTTTCATTCCCCTTTCTTTTAATTCCCAATTCATTAATGTAACCATCATTTGCACCTCAGACGCCGATGACGCAAATATGACTTGATCATCGGCATACAAAAGGCATTTGACGGTTAACTCGCCCATTCTTAACCCACATTCTTCATCTTTCAAAGTTTGCAAACACCTGTCCATAAATAGGTTGAACAGCCAAGGGGAAGCTACACAGCCCTGTCTGACACCTTTTTGGATGCCAACCCAGTCCGAGTAGACCCCATTGATCCTGACACAAGCCCTAGAGTCCCTATAAAGAGACCTTAATGCCTGTATCAAACCAGCGCTCAACCCATATGAGTTCAGTGTTTGCCATAACGCATTCCTGTCCACTCTGTCATAAGCCTTTTCCAAGTCCATGAACGCACAAAAAACTTTCTGGTTTTTGGCCAAAAACTTCTCCGCAATCATGCGCATGGAAAAGACTTGATCTGTACACCCCATTCCCTTTCTAAAACCCGCTTGCACATCCCAAATTATTCCATCAGTTTCTTTCATAACTCTTTCAATTAACACCTTAGCATACAGTTTACCCACAATACTAAGCAAGCTGATTCCACTGTAGTTTTTGCAGTCCTGCTGTGACCCTTTTCCTTTATATATTGGTACTATAACTGCTTTACACCAGTCATCCGGTACCCGTTTTAATTCCCAACATAAATTAAACAAGGTGTACAGCAGGCCTGCCACCATTCCCTCTCCAGCCCTTAGCATCTCGAGTGATACTCTATCATATCCAGCTGCCTTACCTGCTTTATGCTTTTCAATTGCTTTCATTATTTCATCTACACTTATCTCCATACCCCTTTCCACTTCTTTCGGAATTTCTAGTTCATTTAATTCAGACGACTCTTCACTCATAAACACGCTTTCAAAGTATTCCTTCCATCTGTTTAAATTCGAAGCTTCATCATTCAGAATACATCAATTCTCGTCTCTTATAGCATTCATTAGAGGCTGTTTTGTATTTCCCCTGGCAGTTCCTACGAGTTTCCAGAACATTTTTATGTTAGCCTGGAAATTATCAGATATCCTTCTATCATTCTTATCCGTTCTTTCTTTCTTTTTCCTTTCAACAACTTCTTTTACTCTCTTATTTAGACGTCTAAATTCTGCTTTTTTTCTTTCAATCTCTTCATTCATACCAGAAGAATTACCAGCTTCGGTTGCTAGTAAATCTAACCATGCTTTCTTCTTTGATTCAACTTCCACCCGTACCTCATCATCCCACCACAACGTATTACTTTTCCTTTCATTTGTTCTCTTACTTACACCACATACTTCGGTGGCGGCATCCACCAAACCTTTCTTAATATTATCCCACACAGTATTCAAGTCTAAATCATTCATACACAACTCATTCAAACATCTAATATTTCCTCTCAGTCTACATTTATACTTCTCTTTCACATCTTCATCTTGTAACTTCTCTATTCTTATACGCTGTAACGCAGTGGTAGACACAGATGTCCGATGCCGCCAATGCTTGAAAAGACCATTAATTCGACATAAGACCAAGTAATGATCCGTCCCTACGTTGGACCCCCGGTAAACTCTTGTATCTACGATTGCGCTCCTCATTCTTTCATCCACAATTACGAAATATTTCATGCTTCTATCATCACCTCTTTCCTATGTATACATGTGAATCTTCTTATGACGAAAAAAAGTATTCGTCACAAAAAGATTCTTTTCCACACATACGGTGAGGAGGTCTTCACCATTCTCATTTATACTTTCATCACCAAACATTCCCAATATCCTTTCATAACCAGACCTCTTCACCCCAAACCTTCCATTAAAGTCTCCTAACATAATAATATTTTCATTTTCCTTACATTTTGTCAACACCATCCTTACCATGTCCCAAAACTGCTCTCGGATATAAGTGGGCTTAGACATGTCTGGGGAGTACACCCCTAGCAGAAACAGCTTCTTTAAGCCCACTTTCATTCGTATCCATAGCAGCCTCGGGCTTACACATTCATACTCTTTCACGCATTGACCCATTCTTTCTGAAAGGATGAAACCGACTCCCTGGCATGCCCGTTCGGTCTCGTCTACACCAGACCAATACGCGGTATACGTGCCATGTGCAGTGGCATCCTTTCCCTTTCATTTCGTCTCATTCACACATAACACATCTATTCCTCTGTCATTCATCATTTCGCATACTTCATCCATCTTATCATTCATTCCTCCACATACATTCAGCGTAGCCGGACGGGTTTCCGCAATCCACTTTTCACCCCTCCGGGAGACAGAACGTGACGGGTGGCGGAACCTCGTCGCCGGTTTTTCTCCCGGAGATTCTTCGCACCCCTGCCCCATTGAAGGGGCGCCGGGAACTCGGGGCCATTTCCTTTATTTTCTGAGTCATGGTGCGAACAAGGGGTGGTGGTAGATTTTACGCCGGTACCATACGGCGAGGAGCCGAGTCTATTTTTTCGGCTTTGTCGCTCGTTTAGCACCACCCGGGGGACACGTGTATGGTGGGCCTAAGGTTAGGTGGTCGAAGCCTACGGACGCGAGCGACTCATCCCCCTAAAATAAATGACAGTAATATATTATTTAACTTTTTCCCTGTCCCATGAATAATATTATGAACATTTTGATTAAAATATGTTGATTGAATAAACTAGCACTAGTTATAATTTTATCTGGTTTATCACTCTGAATTATTGTTATAATATCTCAAATCTCTGGATGGGGTACAATAGTTTGTAAAAGTCAAAGATGTGATTCACATTTTCCCCATAGATTGTTTTAAAATAAATAAAAGTTAGCTACAATAATATATTCTAAGAATAAATATTCCTTTAAAAAGCGAGTATGGAAATGAATTTTGGGCTTAAATTACACAGAAACAGAATCTATTACATTATAAAAGGTTATAATCATTAGCAAATTAAATTGAAATAATTACCAGTCCCATTACAGGACATAGTTCATTTAATATATACATAGTATAATAATACTATACATAATAAACATCTGTTTACCATAAGTGTAAAGGATGGCCATCTGTGCACAGCCTACATGAAGCACATAAAAATGGCAGTGTATATTATATTGTGTAGCCATTTGTGTTGAAATTTAAATTTTTAAGATCTCTTGAGTAGTCTGATGGCTTATAACATGTAAAATATGTGATCAGGAAATCGAGGTGTGGAAACCAACATAAGCTCAATTGATCAGTGAACCTTGTTAAAGCTACATACATGAGGGAAGTTAAGCACATAATCATGTGGGAGATTTGGCAAGACAATAACTAATCTGCCTGCCAAGCCTGCCTCTGAATGTTATCAACAATTAAATGAGGTATGTAAACACAAAAATGTGATTCTGCAATGGATCAAGGGACACTGTGGATCCAAGTGCAACACAGCAGACGAACTGGCCAGGAGAGGATCGGCTATGGTCATTATAGGGCCGAAATCGATCATACGAATCCCTTGTGGTAATCGTTCACTGGTACGTAAAGACTTTATTAATTAACACGCTCAGCTTTGGAAAAATCTAGTGGACTGTAGGCAAGCCAGGGAGGTCCTGCCAGAAATAAACAGTTGTATAACCAAGGTCTTAATGAGATTGAACAAGCCACAGATCAGAATAACAACAAGTGCAATTATAGGACATTTTTCCTTAAACAAAAATTATTTACTATAGGTATTACACAGTTCCCTGTGCAAGGCATGTATGGGGGAGGAGGAAACGGCAGCCTATTCGTTGCTGGCATGTCCGCTACATATAGGGCTAAACTTCTTGTCACACTGGGATCACTCCCCGAAATCGCTCGCAACATCAAAGGACTGGTGAACTTCTTCAAGGAGATTTCATGGTTTGAATAATCACAATATTCCTGGTTTGAACAATTACATGCAACATACGTACTTAGACCAGTTGTAGGAAGCAGCCTGTCGTTAACTAATCATTAACAGTATGGTCAAAATTGCGTAGTCTTGGCTACATCACTGTTAAATGATAAATTGGCAGTTATATGTGAATAAAACTATTTATTATACGAATTTTATCGTGTTGAATTAACTTATTTTAATTCCCAATGTTTCGGGTGCTTTACAGCACCCATGGTCATGGGGTATGGTTTAAAAACTGAAGGTAGCCGGGCTACCCATGACATTGGGACATCAGACATGTCAGTCCCCCCTGTGACCATGTAAAGCACCCACAACTACGGGAATTAAAAGTAGTTAATTAAATGCGATAAAATTTGTATTTATACTTTTATTCACTTCATAGTGTTTGCGCAAATTTAAGAAATCGTTAAGGCAGTTACATATATTATCATGTAGTCACATCAATTTCAAAGCTTACCTGTGTGTCTTATTAAACAAATTCTTCTCAAAAGCTTTCTGCTCCTTAGTGGTAGGAAGGATATCTTTATCATAATACTTAGCTAAGATTCTGTTACCATCATTGTCAAGTATGCACATGCCTTTCACTATGTACAATGTTGGCTCCTGGAACATAAGTTAAATATAATTAATATGGTGAAAAATGTGATTCTAAAGTTTCAACACATTCAAGAACTTAGTAAAATTTGCATTATCAACAGCAGGGTTAGCCAAGATGACACTCTATAATCATTAACTCTATAGAAAATACAAAAATGAATAAAATAAACACTAAGTAATCCAACTGTCACATGACTTATATAGTATGATATTATAATAAAATTATTAAAACACTTATGAGCTAAATTAGTTTTATTCACATTAGCAAAAAATGAAAGGAAATTATTTCAGTACACTATTCTTAATTATATTGACTTTCCTTAGAAGCTAGAATAGTAATATCATTGCTGTTTAGAGGCAGCAGCTACTTTTAAAACACTCAAAGGAAGAAAGAAGTACATTTTTATACTAAACATACCGCACATCAAGTATTAGTATTATAGTAAAATTAGTTAAATTAAATATGATAATATCTATAAAATTAGTTTTATTTAATGTCTAATATTAGTATAAATATAAGCAACCATTGTATATTCAGATTTTTATAGTGAAAAGTTTGACAGTACAATGTATCCCTATCTAATTATGTCGCAATAAAATGATACTATATTTGTGTAAATCAAATTTACTAAGGAGGTTTAAGTTGTATAGTGATTCTGGTATTGTCCTTAACATTGAACACCTGCTTGTCGCTCTAAATCAATTACATCAGATGAAATTCTTTTTTCTCTCAATCTGGCCTTTGATATTGTAGTTAGGTCACAATCAGAGGCGGCGTAAGGCGTGGGCGACGTGGGCCACCGCCTACGGCCTCGCGATCCAGGGGGCCTCGCCTCTTGGAGGTTATTGCATTACTTAAAACCGTAAACGCATTTTTTTCAGCATTTTCTTTCGCATATACCTCAGGGAGTGTTCTGAGGAATTGTTCGGATTAATCGCAGCCGCCAAATTTCGTGAACGCACTACGCGGCAAACGTCCCTATACCATCCACACCATCTGGATGCTTGGCGGTCCACCACTGTACGTTTCATAAGGAGTTTTCTTCCGCGTACGACCTCTCTGTGGTATAGTCTACCACCGGCGATTTTTCTGACCGATATGACCTGGGGACCTTCAAGAAAAGAGCTTACTCCTTTCTAAAGGGCCGGCAACGCACCTGCAATTCCCCTGGTATTGCAGTTGATCATGGGCGGCGGTAGTCACTTAACTTCAGGTGAGCCGTATGCTTGTTTGCCCCCACTTTTATAAAAAAACGCGTCGAAAAAATTTTACTGTCATGAATCGATATTATTGACATAACTAAATATTTTTATTCAGTCTAGTAACATTCGTTTGCGTTGCTATTGCGGGGAATCCCCGCTGCGGGGCGACCAGTATATATACAGTAATCTATGGGGCGACGAAGGCTGAGGATTCCCCGTTCTGTTTGTTAGACATAGAATACTGACTTTATTTAATCGTGGGCGCGTGACTATCGAGTAAAGACGTGCGGTCCAGCCATGCTGTACGCGTATATTTTCACAGACACAAAGCTTCTTAAGAACTTGCAAAATTGTTACCTATTTTGGTAGGGTTGTCACTATAGGTGAAGAAAAATTAAAGCTCAAGAACATTTACGTACATTTTGTGACTGGATTAAAAAATATCAACAAACTTGTTTCGATAAATGCTTGTCTGCTATTTAACAGTTTATTGAAAAAAACTGTTACGATCTGCCAAGACTTTAAAAAAAAGAGTAGCCAAAAAGAAAAAGATGTTGGATTATGAAGGCAAGGATTAACCTTTACAGTCTCCTAAAAGTCGGTATTAAACAGACTTTTTCAACACCATGCTTGTTCAATTATAACAAATATGGATTTGAGATTTATGGCTTTAAACCCACATTATGAAAATTTTGGTTTCCTTTATGATTTAAACAATTTAAAAAATAATCCAAACTATCTAATATTAAAATAACTGTCAAGGTTTACACACAGCCCTGCGAGTAATTGAAAGGAGTGACTTTCAACCTTACGAATTATATGAATAATTACAATTAATGATCACTAATTTACCTAACTTCATAACAGATGTGAAACAGCTTCTCCAATATGTTACAGAAAATAATTTAAAAAAATATACCCAAACATTTACATCGTCATTTAACAATACTGATCAGTACATCCTCCGCTAATGGAAGCTTCTTAAAATTAAAACTCGTTAAAATTATCTCAGGAATGCAATGTCACAGAAAAGACTTTCTGTATTGAAAGTTTTATCTATCAAGGCAGATATAGCATCCGAGCCATATTGTGAGACTATAATTAAACAATTCAGCAGGATAAAAAGCAGAATATCTCTTTTCCATTTTTCTATGAAATTGTTTGTTGGTACTTAATGATTTTGTATGTATAAAAATTTCGTATGATTTAATATATAATCCGTCTTTTTGTGCGGGCAGAGGACCTCACAAAATGTATTTTGCCCACATAAAATTTAGGTCTTGCCCCGCCACTGGTCACAATAGTTCTACTAAAGTACTGTCTACTGTACTCTACCACATATTATCTTAAAGCTTCATATTTCTGATGTCCAGTACGTCTTTTGTTTTTTAGTGTTTGATATTTATTTCCTCTTTCATATTAAAGTATTTTATGTAGGTCACATAATGCTTCCTGGTCTAACATTTACTGTGAAGTTACAAATTATTTTCAGAAAAATAACCGAATAATTTTATTAATTTATATAAACACAAATAACCATAAAATGGTCCAAGAGTTACATTATGACATCAGAGAGTTTTAGATTAAATTTAAAGACTATTTTAATAGTTCAGGGTAAGTAAAAACGGGGAACCCTGATAACATGTCTAGCATAATAACTATATGAGTCTTTGGGTAAATTTGTAAAATGGTGGATTAAAAAGAAATCTTTCCTAATAAGTCGAACACGACTATATTTTGGAAACAAGTACATAGAGCGAGTGCCTGAGTGCCTCTGCGCTCTTTTCCTGAAAAATAGACAATTTTTTATACTAACAGGTAGAAGCTAGTGGCCTAACCTGTGGGACATTAATAATTAACACAGAATACGAAAAAACTGATTACTTTTTTACCTTTACCAGATCATTAATCCCATTGCCACTTTGGTTATAAAGCGCAAAATGGTTTGTTAAAGAAGATTATACTCACAAATAATGAGCCTTCCATCGTTGTATGCACCATTTTATTATATACTTTTAGTTTTGAACTAAATATTCCCAAATTAATTCAATACTTTAGTTTAGCTAAAGGTATCAAGGTAGTGTTCGGTTGACGTGTTCGTGTTTATTTATTTTGACGTTTGACCATAGATTACTGTATGCGTTTGACGTTTGTTGGTGTTGTTACGATTAGCCAATACGGCAGGTATGGGTCTTAGATCATACAGACTAGTTCGATTTTTATCAAAAAACTTTTAAAATATTGTGCTGACAGAATATACTTCAAGGTCCCTAAGCGGATAAGAAAAATTGTACAGTTCGCACGTGGTAGAAGTGACACCATAAAATAAAATAAAATATAAAAGAAAAATATTTCACGGCAAATATTTTATTTAATAAGATAATTTTCAACCACAAGCGCGGTATAAAATAGATAAAAGTTTAATTTTAAGGTAAATAAATGTTACATCGAACAAAAATTGATGGACTCTCAAGGTGATACGTAAAATCTACGCTATATGACAAATTTAATATAATATTGTATTTCATTCTCTCGCCGGCTAAATCCTACGGATATAAATATTTGTTTTTTTTTATTCTCGCGCTTTTGTTTCATCGAGTTTCAAATAACAAAGATTCTAAAGTAGTTTTCACTTCGAAACCTGAGATATATATCACCATCAAAGCACTTGTTACATTTTTTCCCAATGATTTCACTAGAAATATTTCATGCGCAGAATAAAATGAAATAGATTTTTTTAATCTAAAATAAATGTTATAAAATTATTTATAAAACTTATTTACGAAACAGCTTGGAAGCGATTACTTCATTCCCAGTGGTTGATATCAACCATGTAATCATTTATATTATAATAACCCTTTTTTAACGTGTTGCCGGTGATGACTTACGGATCTGAGACGTGGTCCTTCACTGCTGGCCGTATGAGGACGCTCAAAGTCACTCAGCGAGCTATGGAGTGGACTATGCTCGGAGTTTCTGCGTGATAGACTCAGAAATGAGGATATCCGCAGTAAAACCAGAGTTACCGACATAGTCCAACGGATTAGTAAGCTGAAGTGGCAATGGGCCGGCCATATAGCTCGAAGCACAGATGAGGAAGAAAGGTTTTCGAGTGGCAGCCTCGTACCGGTAGGCGTAGTGTAGGGCGACCCCCACTAGATGGAGTGACGACGTGGTAAGACATGCAGGAAGTCGATGGATGCAGGTGGCTCAGGACCGTACTTTGTGGCATTACTTGGGGGAGGCCTATGTTCAGCAGTGGACTTTTGAAGGGCGGTAATGATGATGATGATGATGATGAACCCTTTTTTATAAAGTCTTTGTGTAAGTATTGAGAGACCTTGTATATTTTCTGGCACTTTGTTGTAATGGCGTTTGCCATTCCCCACGTGACTCTGTGGAGTCGAGTAACTGGTAGGTCACTAAGTTGTATTGTTTAATGTTTAACTTTTATAGTTATGTAGGAGTTTACCGAGAAGCGATATGATTGAGAAGTTTTTGGGAGATTTTGACAACAGCTTAATCCCGATTTGTTCAGCAAATTTAACTGCTTATTGGAGTCTTATACGACATGGGAGTGTTCGATTAGAAGTGAGATTTGAAACAGCTCAGACTGTTAACTGTATTTTTATGCTGAGTTTGACAATATTATTGTAATTGATAAAAACAGAAATGTAAGTGTGATATATATAGGTATAGATTAATATTGTACTATGTAGGTAGGCGCCACCGCGCGTCTTCACTAGCCAGTCGCTCAATACAAGTTATGAAGTCACACCGTGTTTTATTATTTAAATACCGAGTTATCCAGTATATCTCAGTGGCGACGAGGATAGCAACGAACTCTTGGAAAAGTATTTGTAAACGACAAGTATTTATTTAAAATGCCGATTGGAAAAATTCCTGAGTTTGATCTACATAAGGACGATTGGAGGTCATACGTCGACCGCCTCGAACAATATTTTGTTGTCAACAAAATTTCGAAGGATTTACAAGTTCCGACGTTAATTACCGTGATGGGAGCCGAGTGTTACGAACTGTTAGTGAATTTATGTACTCCAACCAAACCAAAAGATAAATCTTTTTTGGAAATCACAAACATTCTAGAAAAACATCTCCAACCAAAACCAAGTGTCCTCGCAGAAAGATATAAATTCCGGCATAGAAAACAAAAAAGTTGTGAAACAATAGCGGAGTATGCAGCAATATTGAAGAGAATGTCGAAATCTTGTGAATTTGGTCAATGGTTGGAAGAAAGTTTAAGAGATCAGCTGGTGTGCGGTATTCTAAGTGAAACTATAAGGCAACGACTATTCGCAGAAGGCACGTTGGAATATGAGAAAGCGTATAGCTTGGCAGTGAACATGGAGGCGGCGGAGAAGGATGCAGCGGCTCTGGAAGGATACGGGCAAGGTGAATCGTCGGGCAGCTCGAGCACGGCTGAGTGCCAGGCGATGGCAGCGACTCGACGTGGCAACGGACGCGGTCGGCCAGGGAGGACGGCACCTACGGCGTCGAGGTGGCAGCGGCAGCAAGGAAAAGCAGCGGACGGAGCACAACAATGTGCTGCGTGCGGCGGACCCCATGGCAGCACGAAGTGTCGGTTCGCGGTATATGTGTGCAGAGTATGTAATCGTAAGGGGCATCTACGTCGGATGTGCCCTAACCTGACGACGTACCATCACGTAGACATCGGAACACCTAAAGTGGTCGAATCGGACGAGACGGACAGTGACGAGGTAAGAATATTTGATATTAAAAAATTATCCATAGAAGAGTGTACACCGCTATGTATTTCAATCAACGTTCACGGAAAAGATATTGACATGGAGTGTGACACGGGTAGCGCCGTATCTTGTATAAGTTACAAATTTTATAAACATAATTTTAGTGATTTACCTATCAGCAAATGTAATGTTTTACTTAGATATTACACAGGTGAAATAGTTCGTCCGGTGGGGGTGGCTACGCCACTAGTGAGGTATAAAAATACACAAAAAAAATTAAATTTGTTCATAATCAGAGATGGTAAAACCGTTCTTTTGGGTCGACAGTGGTTAGCCGAACTTAAAATTCAACTACCAGTGTTTCAGTATCACAATGTAAACAATGTTAATTATAAGGATTTTGACGAAAGTAATTTTATGTATAGATTCAGTGAAGTATTTGCGGATGGGCTTGGACGGTTCAGCGGCGGGCGGGTTAGCATCCACCTGCGGCAGGGGGCGCGGCCGGTGTTCATGCGCGCGCGCCCTCTGGCGTATGCGCTGCGGGAACCGGTGGAGCGAGCGCTTGAGCAGTTGGTGCGAGACGGCGTGCTCACGCCGGTGGAGCGCTCCAACTGGGCCACACCCATTGTACCCGTTCTCAAAAAGGATGGTAATATTAGAATATGCGCTGATTATAAATTAACACTGAATAAAGTGCTAGAAGTCGACCGTTACCCCTTGCCACGCATAGATGATTTGTTATCGCGTTTACATGGCGGTGAACGTTTCAGTAAGATTGATTTATCTCAGGCGTACGCTCAGTTTGAGCTTGACGAATCAAAAAAGTATACGGTTATCAATACACATAAGGGTTTATACATGTACAATCGACTAGTTTACGGCTTGTCGTCGAGTCCGGGAATTTTTCAAAAACACTTAGAAGAATTATTGACAGGGTTACCGAACGTGGGTGTATTTTTAGATGACGTAATTATAACGGGTCCTGATAGTCGTAGTCACATAAAAAATTTATATAAAGTGTTCGAGCGATTGCAGTCTCACGGGTTGCGCGTTAAGAAAGAAAAATGTGTATTTTTCGCAGAATCTATTAACTATTTAGGGCACGTCATTAGTAAAGAGGGTGTTCACACGTGTCCAGAAAAGTCCGGGCAATTGTAAACACGCCTGCATCCACCAATATTTCAGAACTGCGATCTTTCATCGGGCTAGTAATGTATTATGGTAAATTCGTACGAAATGTTAGTTCATTGCTGGCCCCGTTATATCGTTTGCTAAAAACCGGGGTTCGATTCCTGTGGAGTACTGAGTGTCAATTGGCATTCAATGAAGTAAAAAAAATATTAAGTTCGAGCGAAGTGCTTGCTCATTATACGTTAGACTTACCCGTGGTACTGACGGCAGACGCCAGCGGGATCGGAGTCGGCGCCGTGATATCGCATATCACTGAGGAGGGAGAGCGGCCGATCGCATATGCGTCGCGTACTCTCAGCGCGGCCGAGCGGGCCTATGCGCAGATAGATCGAGAGGCCTTAGCAATAATATTCGGTATTAAAAAGTTTCATCAGTACTTATATGGTAGAAAATTCGTTTTAAGGACTGATCACAAACCCTTGACGTATATTTTCGGCAGTAAAGTGGGCATTCCAGTTATGGCCGCTTCGAGATTACAGCGTTGGGCAGTATTATTGTCGGGATACAATTATGACATAGAATATGTAAGTTCCAACAAAAATTGTGCAGATGCGTTATCTCGTTTGCCGCAACCGGTACATAAACGGTTTCCGAAGTCGGAGGGAATGAATTACATTAATTTCGTAGAAAATTTTCTCCCGGTCACAAATGATGACGTCAGAACGGCAACAGCAAGCGATCCGGAATTAAGTAGAATTTTAACCTATGTTCAGTCCGGATGGCCCGCGTCCTGCCCAAAAGAAGTGTTGCAGCAATATTATATTAAACGTAATGAACATAAATAGATAGGGGCTGTATTATGTGGGGTTACCGCTTGGTGATACCGCGCACTTTAAGAAAAAAAATACTTATGCAATTACATACTGGTCACATGGGCATTGTTAAAACTAAGTCCATAGCTCGAAGTTACGTATGGTGGCCTAATATAGATACAGACGTCGAATCCGAATGCCGAGCATGTGAGACGTGCGCGGTGGAGTCACAAGCACCCCCGCGCGCCCCACCGCAGCCTTGGCCGTACCATTTGCAGCCATGGAGCAGACTCCATATAGATTTTTTAGGCCC